ATTTGTCTCCAATTTACGTGGTAAAGATATATTGAAGGAATTTCCAGAGACTCTTTCCTGAAGGTCTCGGTAGGATTTTACTTGTGCTGCAAGGTAACATGTTAATAATTTCTGATGAGATTATTCAAAAAATATTTGAAACTCAAAATCCTTAAATAGATAAACTGTGTTTTTTTATATGCCACGGCAAAAAGTAGCACAAATTGAGTACAAAACTATTGTACGGTAAGTGATATTTCGGTATTGGTTCCACAGGGTATAACACTTCTGATCGTGTGCTGAATGCAGCTAGCATGATTGCTACGGTTGTAATTTTAGCTCTAGTTATAGGGAGAAACAAAGTTGATTTGCTACCAGTCATAATTTTGCAGATTTAAAATCGTAATTACGCGTCGCCTTTATTTGAGAACAGGGGAATAGTAGGTATTCAATTTTCTATACGTTTGAATTTTATACATAAAATCCATTGTTATGGGATGATTTATAATATAAACGAAAAAGGGATGATAAAAGCCCTATATTTTTAATAAATGTGGTGGATATGCGATACACGTTTCAGGAAATGCCCTCATGCATATTACACGTTGAAAAACGTATACCGTGCAAATAGTAGGTATTGCTGGGATGGCGTACATTAATTATTAATGACGTCGCAATAGCAGACAAAACCTAATATTTGTTTGAATGGGTCAAACTAGGCGATATCGAACCCGTATCCTTTCTGTAACCTGCAACGGCGCTTTAAGACGCATCTCCAACTTCAAGCGATGATTAATGTTCTCTTTTATTCTTGCATTCAAATGCGTCTTCCCAACACGTACATTTATGATAAAAGAAAATAATTAGTAAAACCCAGACTGGCACAATGAAAAGTCAAAGCTTTTTGCTTCGGCTTTTGCACACGGGTAATGAAGAGGGTTGTGATAGCGACAGTCGAGCATCGCCTGCTCAGAAAGGCTATTGATCGTGCGATGCTGGAAGGATGGATGGCCTGGACCGACTACCACTGTCCCTTCGTCCTCTTGATATAATGCCGCACCGACGCTTTTTTACTTCATCACCCTCTTTATCATAGAAACATTTAGTTGCTGTCGACATCTTCGGACGGACATAATTTAATTAAGACGAATAAGATATGAAGCAATCAGGAGGGTCAGCGGTGCTAGGAACTTTTGAATTAAACACCGAGGTCTTTGAACTACGACAAGCACTTCGATAATTAAACAAAAAATGGGCCAGCGGATTCAATTACAATGCGAAATTGCTCGAATACTTCCTGGAGTTATGGTGTTTACGACAGGTTCCTCAATCGCTTTCACACTATTAGAAAAATCTGGTTCTGCACATCTGAAATAATAAGGACCCCTGAAAACATAAATTACGTTACATAAAATATTGTTGCTTACAGTTTATTACCTCTTTTAAGCTGAAACATTACAGCCCTTTATTACTAAAAATAACGATCACGTATCAAATGAGCTTCGAAATTGCTTTATTAAATAAAAGTACTTACTCGTTATATCACTTTTGAAAATTGATAATTACGTCTTCGTCTCAAGCCTTTGGTGTACATTTTCGTGAGAATTGACTGAAATGCATTAGGCAGGGCATTAGGAGAGAGAATACAGAGCACCAGAGTGCTCTTTACACGTTTTTGTAACGATAGAGTTCCAGTAGAGCTTTTGCAATGGATTTTTATATAATATTTTCAAATGTATTGAGACGTCGTCACTCGAAAATGTAAATCTTTTTCTCCATTTTCCTTTATGTTAAGATTGATAAGGTTACACTAACACCGAGGGGTTGAACTTCGTAAGCCAAGATGAGGTGGAATGCACGCGGGGTTGAGCACAAAAGTTACACATGCAAGGTATTACAGGTGGTCGCTTTACTACCTCTAATAACACTTTTATAGGTTAAGGGTTGGTTGAGGTACGACGAGAATGCTTCCTAAACATAATTAATATTCCATAAATTAAGACACTGACATAACGTTCTTCTATGCATTTTATTTTCAAGGTACGGTTTTACTGTGAGAGTTTTTTTTTACATATTATGTGAACTATCGTGATTTAGCGAAAGGATCAGATTTCAATTCTGATTTTATTATAACTGAATTATTAGGTAGTCAAAGGTTTCATAATTTTCTTTATAATCAGAATTAGTGTGTGTTAAGCAAACGCTGGGGTTCGAACCCGCGTTATCGACCGTTGTAAATCGAGGTAAATCGAGCTTGCAACTGAGCCTTCATAAATATTCATATATAATACCATAAGTAGTCGAAGTATTGTCGAATATTTTTGAGGTGCTGTCACGAATGCTAGTTACGCTGATTAATACCACGAGCGCTTGCGCGAGTGATATTAAAAAGCGTAACTAGCATGAGTGGAGCAGCAGCTCAAAAATATCTACAAATACTTCGACTACGAATGGTATTCGGAGGACTATTCAATGAATCAAAAGAAAAATTAAACATAATTACCCACGCGAATGTATTTCCATGACAACAATAAACGTCAAAATAAATTATGGAAGTTGCTTTTTATTTTGCTATTGATTCTATTCGAACTTTTGTGCTCCAAGCTAATTCGTTATGAGTGATTAAATTAAAAGATGTGGTGATAAATCGGTTGTCGAAATTGATTAACAAACTAAGAAGAATGTTCCGGTTAATACGACAAAATTTCGCGTCATTTCACTGGTGGAAGTTTGACAAATGTCATTGAATAATCGCATTGAATTGTCGCTGAAATACCACACGTGAAATTATCGCTGAAATACCACACGTGCAATTATCACTATAATTCGTTCCCATTGGCGCAGCAATTTGAAATCGAGACATTTCACTGGTTGAAATGTGACAAATGTTAGATGAATTGAATAGTCACTGTAATACTACTAGTGCTTGCTATTTCCGGAAACTTTTCGAGCTCACACATATTTGAACTTTCGCAAAATATTCGTGAGCAAGAAAAAAATTCTATTCAAGCACTGTGGTATTCGGTAAGAAAATTTCACAGCATAGTGACCCTCAACGAAAAAGTGACGTTTTATGTCAAAACATTATTACCTTTTTACGTCAAAAAATTGACGATAAATTCCTTGGTTGCCATGGAAATGTGACACGAAATCCGCATTTCATTGGTCGACAAAATTGCTGGTTTAAATTTTCGTTGAGATTTGTCACCTAAAGTATGTAAGACACAAGATTATCAATTTTTGTATGTACAGTTTTTTAACAGAGCTGCTAGATTCAAGAAGGTGCCGACAACAAACAATTCTTTATGTTTATCTATTATAGGTACATCGTCCAAATTGTACATCATTTTTATGTAATCGATATTATTAAATTGCTTTTTGATAAGTAGGTAACAATACACCTACATCAAATGTATGAAAAAAATGTATGAAACGGGTCTAAAAAATTAAAACGTTGTTACTCCTCAATATTACATTTATTGATGTACAATATTTTTTTAATTATCGGTCAATTATCGTTGGTACTAATAGACGAATAAATGGACGGCATTGAGATTCTTTTGTTACTGGTCTAATAGGGTCATAAACCATTGTATATAAGTATAATGGTCATTAGGTGTTAATATTTTCCAGGTAAAAGTGCTACCTGAGTTGCCTATCGTCATTGTATGGAAGGTATTGCATTTCTTCCGTCGCTATATTTTATATAAACTTTTGAGTAAAAATTACGTTTTATTTCATAATTTGAAGCAGTTCGTAATATATTTTTTTAATCCACTTAGTTACTAAATAAATTGTGCGGATTTACTTTTTAAATATTTTTTTTACTAAGGCCAGTATTCGCGTTCTTAGTAAATTCAAGATTATCGTTTATACACGACTTAAATAATTTTATCAAAAAAATAAATCGCTACATTTAATGACTTTCTATATCTCTATCAATTTCCGATAAGACCTCTAGTTAGAATTAATATTTGGGCTTCAAAAATTACTCAAAAGTTTCGACTTTTATTGCAAATTTCAGTGACCATTGTGTGTTGCCTATCCTCTATCCCTAGCCCCCTTTACCAGTTCGCGTTTCCGTAGCCAACCGGCCCTGAATACTGCCACTTTAGATGTCGCTGCTTGTATTTTTTCCCAAATTTGGTGTGTATAGGGTACGTCAAAATTGCAGTGTCGAATCTGGGACCTCTAAGATCACTGCGAAACATTGTTACAGTTCACAGACGTCAATGATAAAGTGTAGTTGTAGGTAATAGTTTTCCGATCCTTCATACTAAATAATCTAGACCTAAATTATTTTCCAAAAGCTTAAGGTTTCTCAGTGCATGCTTCCAACACACGTAGGTACGATGCGAATACTATCTACTTTGGGTCATCGTAGCTTTGGCAATAGCAGGTATCAAAAATGTAGAAATACCAACCTACTTACGGCAAATTATAAGGCGTAATTAAGTAATCACGTCTTCTATTGTCAGACATTTTACACCGTCGCAATCCCTTGCCAGCCACCCTTAAAATTCAAGAACTTGTAACTGTACTGTAGCTGAATTCTATTCATGATGTTACTAATAACTATTAAAAGATGTGTTCTCAGTTGTCAGGAAGTTTTTCATGGTACCATAGTAACATGAAGAAAATTCAGATAGTATAAAGTTTTCAGCTTTTCCACCTATGTGTACCAAATTTGGTTTAGGCGGAAATGAGAGTACAGACAGACCGATCGACATCATCGAAATTTTGTTTGATTCGTATTCCTGGTGCTTCAAAACGTGTATATCCGTTAAAAAAGTGGGGGGTCATTTTTTACCCCCATACAATCCCTTCGATACTAACGTGCGGGTGGTAAAAATTGTAGTAGACACAAAATATATTCATTTTTCTGATCGAAGTATCTACCCGTTTTTGTTTTATTTACAAACAATTATTGTTTCGCGAATTTTTAACGCGTCATTTCCATACATTGAAGTAAGTTTCTAAATTTCCAGCAACATTTATTATTTTGAAGTTTTAGTTTTTAATTGCAATGGATTCTACTGAACTGCTATCCGATTTACCCGATGAAATTGCAAACGCTTCTAAGAGCCTTTAATTGAAGAGTTTGCATTTCAGAACCACTCCTTGTCGAGTACTCCACAAGAGACGTAAGTGATATTTTCAGAATTAATGATGGGGGATTTTCCAGAACAGCTAAGTACATCTCCAGGTCGATAACCGCACAGTTTGTCGAAGTGATTCCTTGGGTCTCGTATAATGTACAGGCTTGCTGAGAAAGGCTCAAACTATTATCGTAATTTGTCCCGTTTATGAGCTGGAGTTGGTAATAGAGAGAGTCTTCATCACTGGATACATAGGCAACTTCCAAGTGCAAACGTCTTTCAACGTCGTCATACAAATATTTTACCACAACTGTGTTGTCGTCGTGAAGCATTAGGGCATTGTACCTTGTCTTCTCGTCTAAATGAATTTTAAATTGACCATCATTGCTGATTAAGTCTTTGTGGGCCTCTATAAAGTGGGTGTACAACTGGCAAGCAGGAATAGACTGAGTGCACGCTTTTTTTAGTACTGAAGGGCAAACTATTGGGCGATACTGACATTTTCGTTCATGCTCCAAACTCGAATTGAAACGAAGGCGATCAGTGCACCCTTCCTTGTCGTACCGACATGGAAATGTAAAATTTGACATCATCCGTTCGTAGCAAAGTTGCGAAACAGCATTTGGTTCAGTTTCATGGCAGCGTCCACAAATGAAGTTACCATTTAGCTCCTTAACTGACTGGGCCACATGATATGTACCCTTCGCATGCCGAAGGGTACATATCATGTGGCCCAGTAAAGGAGCTAAATGGTAACTTCATTTGTGGACGCTGCCATGAAACTGAACCAAATGCTGTTTCGCAACTTTGCTACGAACGGATGATGTCAAATTTTACATTTCCATGTCGGTACGACAAGGAAGGGTGCACTGATCGCCTTCGTTTCAATTCGAGTTTGGAGCATGAACGAAAATGTCAGTATCGCCCAATAGTTTGCCCTTCAGTACTAAAAAAAGCGTGCACTCAGTCTATTCCTGCTTGCCAGTTGTACACCCACTTTATAGAGGCCCACAAAGACTTAATCAGCAATGATGGTCAATTTAAAATTCATTTAGACGAGAAGACAAGGTACAATGCCCTAATGCTTCACGACGACAACACAGTTGTGGTAAAATATTTGTATGACGACGTTGAAAGACGTTTGCACTTGGAAGTTGCCTATGTATCCAGTGATGAAGACTCTCTCTATTACCAACTCCAGCTCATAAACGGTACAAATTACGATAATAGTTTGAGCCTTTCTCAGCAAGCCTGTACATTATACGAGACCCAAGGAATCACTTCGACAAACTGTGCGGTTATCGACCTGGAGATGTACTTAGCTGTTCTGGAAAATCCCCCATCATTAATTCTGAAAATATCACTTACGTCTCTTGTGGAGTACTCGACAAGGAGTGGTTCTGAAATGCAAACTCTTCAATTAAAGGCTCTTAGACATTCCAGTAACGAAAAAGAAGAACAATCGGAGCCAAGTGAAGCGTTTGTCAATTTGGAGAACTTCCTTTGCCACGCGTGCAAATCAATTACATCGACACCAATGTACCATCCCTCCGAGGATATCTCCCTACAGTATTGTGAATCTTGCCGAGAGGATGACATGATACAGTCATACGAGGTGAATGGGAACGATAATTATCCGTGCCGTTGGAGAGGCTGCACCTTTTTGGGAGACATAAACAGTGTCTTTGATCATATTAAGACGTGCACGTTTAAGAAGTACATATGCCCATTTTACACCTCCTGCGAGAAAATGTCTTTTAAACACAACCAATTTGAAGCTTTCATTAAGCACTTAAAGTTGCATTCGACATATTGTCCGAACCCCGAGTCGATTACCATTCAACTCTTCGATAGAAACTCGTCTGCATCCGATTACGTTGAAAAGTCCTATTTTACGGGTGTAGGAAATGAAGCTGTCGTTTTTAAATGCGCTATCGAACCACATAAGTGTAATTGGACCTTGCGCTGCGTTTTACCGGATAAAATTGAGGCAACCGTCTTTTTTAGACATGACCATTGTAGGTTTACATCCAAGGTTTTTACATACGATACACAGAGACTTGTGGACCTTAGTAAAGGAGACATAGATTTTCCCTTATGTTTTAAAGAGTATCCTTGTTTGACTGCTGTTATTAGTCTGAGAAACACCGAATAAATTGTAATTATTTTGTAGTGAAATTCTTGTAATACCTAGGTATCTGTAAAATTCTTGGTATAGGTTTAGTTTTTGTTTGGAGAGGGATTGAGTGAATAAGCTACAAGATAATTTAATGACTTAAATTTTAATGAAAACCTTTGATTTAACCTCAATGCCCTCAAAGGTACATGATTTGTTAGGGAGAACTCCATTTAACTTTTGTGCGTGAAAACATAAAATAGGCCAAGTATAAAACCGAGGGGAGTGAAAAGAACACATTATTTGGTATAGGTAACTCTTTCCGTAAGTGGGACGTAAAAAATTCTTCCTTTGCGGCCAACCTGGACACCAAATACGTCGACGGGCTCATTCATGTACCTACTCGGTGGCTACATACAAACAATTGCTGTGCACGTCAATTCTTAATGCTGAACGATGATCTACTGAAGAACCTGGTTTTATAGCAACCCAAATTTGAGACCATTCGGTGTCTATAGAATTTCATCAGGAAGACAGAAACACATCTGCAGGGGGGTATAAAAACTCTTCGTCAATAGGGAACTGATAGACTATGCAGTGTTGCGACATAATTCTTTCTACTATCTCTTTACCTGTTCTCTACCTGCTGTCTGGCATGTCTCTACCTGCTCTCTGTCCGCTCTACCTGTTCTCTAACTTTTACTTACTTTACTTGATCATAGGTACCAATGACCCTCTGGGTAGGCTAACGGCTAACAAGGCGGATATGGTACAAAATTCGTCAAGGTTCTTGACCCGCATCTTTGCGCCCTAAAGGTCGCCACACTAGCATCCACGTTCGAGGGTTGAAGGTACTCGGGCGAGACCCTAAGAATGTTGAGCTAGAACAACCATTCCTATGAGCTATTAAAGGGCACCTAAAGATAGTACGGTACGGGTCCCCGGGGGAACCCGACGACCTGGCGAAGTTCAAGCGGCACTTGGAGGTGCAGAATTCCTGGGCAAAGGTAGGCTGCTGGTGTCTCTTCTACACAGCATCAACCTCAGGGGGGGGAGGGGCTGATAGTTTTCGTCATTGAGGAAAAGGACCAGGCTAAGAGAATCGCCAGGGATGAAAGATTCGGTTATGGGTTATCCTCTAAAGGTGAAGGTTAGTAACCCTACCGAAGGGAGTACGTCAGTACAACCACCGCAGGAACACCAGTGGCTCTGCATCCCGCCTAAATAAAAAAATAAATAAAAGGTTCATATTAATAAAGTACACCAAAGCATATTGCCCAATCAGTTTGACGTCTTTTCTTGTATCGTATCGTATCATATGGGTGGCACTCCTTAGGTACATGCGATTTCAGGTCGCATTAAGAGCCATCTGTGTAATTTAACGACGGTCGTGGTATGACTGCCGGAACAGCCAGCTTTACATGCCCTCCGAAACATGGTAGCCAGGAGATGGTCTGTACCACTAAAAACTGGCAAGTTGTGGGATTCGAACTCACAACCTGTGAGGTTAGAGTCCGAGTCTTAAACCGCTACGCCAAACTCAAAAGACTGTGCGATAGATATCTAAGGGAAACGGCACTAACACGGTTTCCGCTGTGCCCTAACTAATACGCATACTCTCGAAAAAGTTGTACAGAGTCAGCCCTGCTGCAACGTTAGTGGGAGCGGCTCGTGATAAATATTGGTATTATTCGGCATTTCGGATTAAAATTGTGCCACTTGGAACACATGTTCCCTAGACCTATTGGAGTGATTTGAGTCGCAGAGCCGGAAGTTCCGTCCCTTAGGATTGAAAATGGCACCAATTTTGAAAATTTCAGGAAATATATGTTTTTAGAGCGATTTTTACGTTTGGGGTGACGTTTACGAGGTTTCCGACGGTGAATATGACAAAAATAATATCCAAAGCTAATTTCTGTGTGGAAAGCATGTTTCATTTATCATATATAGGCCAATTGTATGATATCTTTAACGTCCGACAAGATTCAAAGGTTTTGACCGATTTTCGTAGTTGAGGTGGCGTTTCTGAGATTCTTTTGGGTGAAGATTACCAAAAAAGACCCATTAAAGGCCTTTTTTATGAAATTTTTTGTATTTTGAATAAACAGATAGAGGTTAACTAAGTGCAAAACTGAAACTTATTCATTGAATCCTGTTTTTAACTAAAAATTGTAGATTATTGAAACGTATTTACAAGTAAAAAGTCATCAGTCATCAAAGGGGAATGCCTCATCATCGCTCAGATCTCCTGTTGCAGTCGAGCTATAAAAAATATTTAGTTAAAATCATTAAAAATAAAATGCTGACAGTCATGTTTATAATAAGCATGTACATATTACTCGGCTGCGATTTTTACAGTATTCTTGCCAGTTAGAACTTTGTAGGGTGCAGGGAAGGCTGTTTCGTAAGCATGAGTACCTCATGGCCTCACAAGTTGACTTGCAGCCGCATCTGTAAGTTTGACCGGAGCAAAGTGGTTAGTTTTGAAAAAAATGTAGTTTTGAGGTAAAAAAAAAATTTTCAAATTTTGAAAAATTGCCTACTGTAGTAAACTAAACTAATACACTAATAATTATTTGGCAAAAAATGGCAATTTTTCAAAATAAATTTTTTTTTACTTCAAAACTACATTTTTCTCAAAACTAACCACTTTGCTCCGGTCAAACTTACAGATCATATCAACCATACATAAATAAAGTAAACTGTAAAGCGGTAACGCTTAATTACAATTAGGGTGCTAATTAGGAGGTGATTTCCTCAATTTTTTTTACCAAACAAAAAAGAACCAACTTTATTTTGAGCGTAACTCACTTAGTTTTGATGCTAGGAACTTTTCTTTAAAACAAAATGAAAGGTTTTTTCAAACACTTTAAAAAAGTATTTATAAGTTTTCCCCGAAAAGTGCTTCATTTTTTGGTTATTTCACGTTGAAGTACTCGATTTGGAATTGACGAATGAGAACATACTTTTCATGAGCTACAACTTTGTTTCTACTGGGTCTACAGACTTCATATATAGACCATTTTGTTTGTTTTTTTATAAGCTATTTTGCTAAGAATACTTTTTTCGATACAATACTTACTTTTAGAGTTGTTTGCGAAAAACCGTCTGAAAACGTGGTTTTTTTTGTTGAAAAATGAACATTTTCACTCGCAAATAACTCTAATACTATTGACTTAGTAAAAAAAACACTAGAGAACAAAAGTTGCTTAGAATTACTCAATTTATCAATTTTCGGACTTATTTTGAACGTATCTTTTTTCCCCTCGAGAAGGGGTGGCATTCACCCCCCAAGTAAAAGCAACCCTGGGCTCAAGTTCACCTTTGGAGTAGAGGGTAAGAGGAACCTAAATCCAAATTTTGAAGCAAATCCGTCGAGGCGCGAAAAATTACACGGCAAAACGGTCATTTACTGGCCTACTACTATTTGATGACTTATGGTTATGACTTTTTACTTGTAAATATGTTTCAATAATCGTTAATTTTTAGTTAAAAACCGAATTCAATGAATAAGTTTCACCTTTGTACTTAGTTTACCTCGACCTGTTTATTCAAAATACTTAAAAATTCATAAAAAATAACTATTTGTGTATTAAGAGCGCAAAATGATAT